TTAGGGCTATGAAACTATTCTGTATACTATAATGGTGGAGACAAGACATTATGCATTTGTCAGAACTTGTAGAACTTTGCAGCACAAAGAGTGAAAATGTGTGCAAATTAAAAATCAAATCATTTAGGAGGTAGACAGATCTCAGGAAAGAATGCTGACTTTGACAAGTGAATTTAAATGTATCACAAATGTATGAAATCACTTCAATAAAAGGGTTGGGGGAAAAGGTGCTGGACCAAATGACTTTGGGAATGACTGGTCTGTAAGACTGAAGGAACTGCATGTAGGCAATGTACTCTAGTTGATAAATTTGTTTCCCCTGGGGGTATGGGTTAACAATTCTGAAACTGCAATTTGAAATATGTATTTCAAAACAGAACAATTAAGTAAATGGATAGTAGATGTTAGGTGTCAGGCTTCTCACTGCCAAAGTAGAAATTACATACAGATAAGCAAGAGGAAGAGACAAGAATGGTCCATCTGATAATGGATTAGAGTTAGAGACACTAGTATGAATTCACGTTTAGCTTAATATAAATACTTGCAGAAATATTTATACATAGGTATATATACATGGGTTAGTATATAGGTATTTAATTACTTGCTGTCAGCTACCAGGTCTTAAAAGAAATGACATCCCAAGCAACAAATAGCACTTCTTGAGCCTAGATTTTGGTTTCTGACACCATTCTCCAATAAAAGGAACCATGATTTCTGAAAGAAATGGCTGATTCTAGGCCTGGGGCATGATTGACCCCAGAGCATCTTATAGTATAGGAAGTAAGGATGTGCTTAAAAAATACTAACCAAACAAAAAATCATACCACATTAATAGGAGTATATTAAAAGTAAATAGGACTATGAGAGCTCCAGTGGCCAAAGCTGGGACAATTTGAACAACACAATAAACGAGTATTAGATTAGAACTCAAAGTATAAAAGAAATATCTGTGTGTCCATACTCACATAAATAAATGTTAAAATAAAAAGGGAGAAAGGACAAATCTCCTATGCAAAAAAGAAATTCCACATATTTTGTCTACATATTCCACCAGCAAAAGGAGGAGCAGAAATCCTCACAAACTGTGGGCCACACGGTGACTTCTATCCAAGGAGAATAGCATAGAAAGAGGGGAAAATGGTAACTTTACAGTGGAAAATTTTGACAAACACTATCTCATTCAGGTGATAACGGTAAACATCACCAGTAATAAATCATGTTGATAGGATGAATCCTTGATAAATAATATGGGGCAAATTTCTAAACCTCTAGTGTCTTCTAGGATAGTAAGATCTACTGTAATGGCATTTTTCCAATGTTAAGTACAATACATGCAAAATGTCTACCACCAGCGCCTGGCCCATAATAGATACTGAAAAACAGTATCCATAATTAAGATTAAATGTTTGAAAAGTGCTCTAATTTTTTTGCTTTCAAAATGATTGAGGTGTCATTGATGTAGTAATACCTCTTATTTGATAGACTTTGTTACAAATTTATAATATGGTCTTTTCTCTTTAGATCTTTGCATTGTGGAGACCTCTAATATTGAAGAGATTTGTGTACATTATTACTTTGTTATGGCTGCATTTGTTAGTAAAGGCTTGTATTTCTGCTTCTGTCTTTCCGTCTTGAGTTGGCTCAACATTGCCTCAAAAAGTATCATGCAAGAAAAGAAGTATCTGCTGTGCTAGACTTCAGAGTACTCTTAAATGCTCTGAGATTTCTGCTTACTACTGCCCTATTAAAGCTGTAAAAAATAATCGGGATATCCAACTCTTATCTGTTTTTAGGATGTCTCCTCTGCTGTCAACACATTATTTCAATACCAATTTGCAGGCTTTGACACGAGTCCTTGTTAATGAGTATATAGTATTTAATGTTCAATAGAGATGGAAGATGACACTGCTAATGTTGCATTATGAAGAAACTGGAGTTAACAGAATGTTTTAAGGTATCAAAAGATTAAATGAGACAATTGTTTGCTAGACACAATTTTCCTAGGAGGTTAAAGGCATACTTTTCCTGTTTCTCAAAAAGTAATTAAGAGCCAATTTGTGACAACCTGAATGTGTAGAAGAAATGGTTTTTGTTTCAAAACTAAAAAACAGGTAACTTGCGTATGCTGAATCTTGGGTTGTAGGTTTCGAAATCACTGGCAGTGGCTTATTTAAAAGCATCTTACACCCGATTTTTGCCTCTTACCTCTTTTTGTCACGCTTTCCTGTGTGAATCAGACAGACTGGACACTGCTGTTGAGGAATCAAATCTTTTGCAGTAACAGTCACAGATGCATCCTCATCATGTGCTTCTAAAGATAGCTGGCTTTGTTTTGTTTTAATTTCTGATAGCCAAAGAAACAGTCATCTCAGATCACCCTGTCACAGGTTTCCTCTCTAACAACTGATATGAATAGGATGTTTTTAAGACATGGAATGAAATTGCAATCTGTATTAAATTACGTGCTTACTTTTTTTTTTTAAAGCTGTTTCTATAAGCATTCTCTTTTCCAACTATATAACTCCTTAATTTCTACAACTCTCTGAAATAGTATACCTTATTCACTTTGTTGTTTCCCTTACTAGTGAATTAACTTTGACCCAAGCCCAAGATGTATCCAAGAAAGTGAAGGAGGCCAGGTGTGGTGGCTCATGCCTGCAATCCCAGCACTTTGGGAGGTCAAGGCCTGAGGATCCTTAAGGCTAGGAGTCCAGCGAGTAGTCTGGCAACATAGCAAGACCACATCTCTACAAAAATTTAAAAAAAGAAAAAAGGTGAAGGAAAAGACATAGCTCACAATTCTGTCATAAACTTTTCTCTAGCATACACTTTCCTCTAATATTCTAGTGGCAGTAGAAGTGATGTTGCTGTTAATTGCAAGATAACACACAAGGCCAATTTTTAAATAATTTAATGTTTCAACACCAAAGATTTTGTATTTTAAATGGTTTTAATTAGGTCTTTTCCTTTTGGTGTCTTTTAGGCAATGGCTCATCCATTCATTTATTCACTGAAGAAATATTTATTGAGCATCTACTCTGTGCCATCTACTATTTTAGTATTTTAGGTACTAAGGAAACATCAGTGAACAAAATGCAAAAAAAAAAAAAAAATCTGTGATCTTGTGGAGTTTACATTCTAGCAGAGGGAAGGCAAGAGAAAATAAAAATACAAAATGATGATGTCAGAAGGTAAGTACTATGAAAAAAACAGAAGCAAGGAGGGGAGGATGCTGGGGAAGGGGCAATATTTTATTTATTTATTTATTTATTTATTTATTTATTTATTTTTTGGAGACGGAGTTTCGCTCGTTACCCAGGCTGGAGTGCAATGGCGCGATCTCGGCTCACCGCAACCTCCGCCTCCTGGGTTCAGGCAATTTTCCTGCCTCAGCCTCCTGAGTAGCTGGGACTACAGGCATGCACCACCATGCCCAGCTAATTTTTTGTAGTTTTAAAAAGACGGGGTTTCACCATGTTTACCAGGATGGTCTCTATCTCTTGACCTCGTGATCCACCCGCCTCGGCCTCCCAAGTGCTGGGATTACAGGCTTGAGCCACCGCGCCCGGCAGGGGCAATATTTTAAATGAGATGATTAGGGTTGGCTTCTTTGAAAAAAGATGACTTTTAAGCAAAGATTGGACGGAAGGGGATGATCTAGCCATGAGGGTATCTGGTGGAAAGATCTTTCCAGATAGAAACTATACACAGTGTAAGGGCCTCAGGGCAAGAAGATGTCTTGGTGTTATAGAAGCAGGGAGTAAGTCTGTGTAGCTGGAACTAAGTCCTCAGCAGAAATGAGGTCAGAAGGGTGAATGTGAGGGATGACTTAGGAGGCCAGCTAGCATAGGACTTTTAGGTTGCAGAAGACTCTGGCTGAGAAATTTAGGGAGCCATTGGAAGAGGTAGTACTTTGGTTTGCTCTTAAGTCTAGACATATTTCTGAATGTTAAAGGCATATCCATGTCATATCACAGATTGGTCCAAATCTCAAGTGTCAACACTTAATTTATCACCTTTAAAATAAGTGAAATGCCATGCTTCTAGAAAACAGAAAAATGTGGTGAATAAAACTGAATACTCAAGCCAGACAAGCACATTGCTGTTTTAATTCACTATCTGGTATCTTAAATATTAATGAGCCTCCTTCTCTGTTTTCTTATTTACAGGTTGCAACAGTATCTTTTTCCAGGTTCCTCATTGTCTCTAGTATCTCTTGGTTTCCTTTGATACCTCAGTCCAGGTAGGATTTCCAAGCTAATTTTCTATTTGTGGCTTAATCTGTCAATACCAGTAACACATTTTATTGTATTGCAGAGGTCAGAATTTTGCTGGTCCAGCAATGTGGACGTGATGTACAGAATTTGGATTAAAATAACAAAAAAAAAAAAAAAACTACTTTGCTTCAATAAGCTAAACTGAGTAAAATCAGTTTTTCCTGAATTTTTGTAGGACTGCTCAAATGAACCCTTTTGTTTCCTTGACACAACAGAGATAATACAAGGTTTCTAATACCCTTACTTATTGTTTTGAGAATTTAAGAGTAATGTATTAAGTAAATTTCATTTAGCACAATAGTACTATTGTTAAATGGAGGGAAAAGATTCTAGCAAAGGGGAAGAAACTCCTGGCTTTAGTTTTCCAAAATGCTTTTGTACCTCTTGTAAGAATGAGATGGCTGTAATCCCAGCACTTTGGGAGGCCGAGGCGGGTGCATCACGAGGTCAAGAGATAGAGACCACCCTGGTCAACATGGTGAAACCCCGTCTCTACTAAAAATACAAAAAATTTGCTGGGCATGGTGGTGCGTGCCTGTAATCCCAGCTACTCAGGAGGCTGAGGAAGGAGAATTGCCTGAACCCAGGGGGCGGAGGTTGCGGTGAGCCGAGATCGCACCATTGCACTCCAGCCTGGGTAACAAGGGTAAAACTCCGTCTCAAAAAAAAAAAAAAAAAAAAAAAAGAATGAGATGGAAGTGTTTTTAATGTCAAGTCCGAAAGTTTACTTTTCAATTTCCTTGGAAACCGGTTTCTAATATAAAACAGGGTAGCACACTTTCCCAGCGTGTTCAGGCACACTACTTTCATCACAATTCAGGTAGAAGTGACTGCCTTTAAATTCCATACATCGCAAACCATCTAGTGGTAGATCTAGAATGGCGTCAGCTCAGGGACTTCTATGCACATTGGTTCCAGAGTTCAATTCCATTTAGGCTGGGACTATTTACAATGACATTTGCTGAAATTTGCTCACCTTGCTACACAAGAATATTGTATTAAGAAGCCAGTAAAACCGTAGAGATAGCAGGTAAAACGTAAAGCCTGTTTTACTTTTTTTTTTTTTTTTTTTTTTTAGAGGTGTCTTACTATAGTAGCATAATTAAACCTCCATTGTTAGGCTGTTAGGGAGGTGCGGGCCAATCACGTCAGCAACAGTCCTAACTTTGCTAGGACAGGGTAAAGCCAATAAACGCGTATCGTTATCTACAAACTGTCTCGGACCCCTCTAAAGAACTCACTGAGGATTGGTAGGGACAAAGCAAAGTTTCTGTCAAAGTTTAGGAGAAAAGGGCCGCGCAGGGAGCTGTTTCAAATAATACTTAAATCGCAGAAGAAAGCCGAACCCCAAGAGTACTCTTCAGTCGCCGCGGGGCCAAGGAGATGCGAGAGGGAAGTTCCTCTACGGGAAATCTGCCGCCTTGTCCCCCGAAAGCAGTGAGGTCCGCAACGCCATCAGTCGAAGTGCAGGCCTCTGCCATTCTCTCCCCTCCCAGGGCCGGCCAACCCTAGTGGGCGGCGGAAGATGCGCCGGCCTGGCGGGTCTGTGCGTCGGTGCAGTGGAGGCTCTGGTGCTGTGGTCTCTCGGCACTCCCAGTGGTCCCAACTTGGCCCAGGCGCCCAGTCCCGGGGTCCTCCCCGCCAGCGCAGAGCCGACAGCCTAGAGCCCGCCTCCACTTCTCCGCGCGCCGGCGCTATGGAGACGGTCACGAGACGCTGGCAGCCCCTGAGCCCGCCAATGGGAGTGCACGTTGCAGGGAGACGCGGACGTCGCTCTTCCAAGATGGCGGCGCGTCCGTCGCGAGCGACCGGGCCGGGGGGAAGTCAGCGAAGCCGAGTAAAGCAGCCGCCCCGGAGAGGACTGAAGGAGCAGTTGCCGCCGTTGGCGGCGGCCCGAGCAGTTTTCGCTGCTGCTACGGCTGTTGCCATGAGGCGAGGCTAGGGAGGACCTCACTTCCCCGGGGTGTAATAATGTTAACTGAGGTAAGCGGCGACGGTGGCCAGTGTTTACCTGTGAAATGGGGAAGGGGCCGACGCCAGCCTGTCAGAGAACATCATCTCTCCGGATGGTGGGCCTGACCCTAAGCTGCGGGTCCCGGGGCCCGATGAGCAGCGGGGATCCTACAAGTGCCCCCAGAGCAGGAGCTGTGCTGACTCAACAGAGTCCCACCACCTCCGGCTGCCCGTGCCTCGCCTTTCGCAGTTGCCACTCGCCACTCGCCCCTGGCACTGGTCTCCTTCCTGCTGTCGCTCCCTTCTAACTCATCGCTCCCTTCTAACTCATCGCTCCCTTCTTGGTGTCCCCTTACACGCTACTCTGTGGCAGCGTTGGCCTCCCCACGTTACAGCTGGTTCCTTCTCTAAGATTTGCCCGAGGTCTCCTTTCTCCGGTCCCTGGGCTCCGGGGCCCTCCGCCTCCGAGCTCGGTCAGCATCCTGAGGTGGTTGCTCGGCCCGACCGGTGTGTTTCCCACTCCCTACTTTGCCTGCTTCTTGAAGTGGACTTTTTATCCCAGGCTACACTTGGATGGTTGAGTTGTGTCATCCCCCTCCCCCACACCCACCACCTTTAGCTTAAATCGTGGTCATCGACAAAGTTCGGTTTAGCATCTGCCTCCTAGATTTGCGTGTGGCCCCCTTGCTACTCTCTGTGGAATAGTTTTTTTCCTTGGACCTGAAATAGAAGTAGGGCAACTATGATGAACCAATCAATTTCCCTTTTCTGTGCCTAATGGGCATTTCAAAAAGCCGACTTTTTGAAGAAGTAGAGTTTGCCTTTACTGGCAGCACTTTAAAGGGAAGAACTAAATTGGTGCAACTAGGTACTTGACTCAGGTTAGCCCAGTTATGTTTAGTAGTATCTGCAGGTGTTAGGTGTCACTGAACTTAAAATACGGAAGCTTGTGATTTGATGAAATACCTTTTTCGAAGCCGTTCACTTTTAAGTACTGTGAGGATCCTGACGTGAGGAACTGACTGGTTTGGGCATTTTTGTGGGCTGAACTGAATACGAAGCAGTTTTAGTGGGCTTTGGGCACTATTCTTACGTGGGCCAAAAAGGAAATAAAAACATTTGTAGGTGAGTGGCTTTTATTTTCTGACAAGTGATGATAAAGCATGCACCTGCCTGAAATTTCAAGTCCTTGTAACTTGACTAAGTTTGAGGAACTTTATACTTTGCTGTTTGTACCTAATCTAAGCACAGAGCCTGGCATATACTAAATACTTACTGACCGGTTGTAACTTCTGCACTACGTATTTTTAGTTGTTTGAAGTTCGCTTTATATTTCTAAATTATACAGATTTTTCGTTCTTGGAGTTAATTTCATTCTTGGAAATTATGGTTATATTATAAGCTTGTGTTGTGATTAGCAGTAATAGATTAGAAAAAAGACTTAACAAGTAGCAGAAGTTCCATTTTTACCCTAAGTGTGATATGGTGGTGGGAACAATTAGCCTTATAATAAGTGTTTAGTCTCTAATGTGTAGTATTAGATGATCTTTTGATTAAACTTGGCTTATGTTAGCATGTTTTAGAGTTTTAATACTTTAAAATGAACTGCTCCGTTGTCTGCCAGTAAAATGATTTGGAAAGACACAACTTTCCTACTTCTGTATTTTAATGCAATTTTGTGTTTTAGAGAAATATTTTAAGCAGTAAATCAGTGATAGTATTAAGTAAACTGTACTTTAGTGTTTTTTGTGTGAACACTGCACAGCTTCTAAGTGGCAAAACCAGGATTCCAACCTTGACAGTTGCTACCTAGCCCATTCTATTAACTTCTTCTCTAGATTGCCTCTCCAAAGTCAGGCCCAGATTAAATTGTACTTAAATTTTCACTATAGTTTTTAGTAGTCGTTTAAAGATTAGGAAACTGAAGCCCGGAGACTCTTGTCTAAGGTCAATTATTAAATATTAGTGACAGTTGAAACTATAATCTCATCTTCTCTCAGTAGAGAGCTCTGACCATTTTGCTCAGCTGCCTTTCAAGTAGTTTTCAGCTCTTTTGATAGATTTTAAAACATACTATTGTACTTCTTTGTCTGAATGTTGTCAGTAAACTGAAACTGATTATTATTTTTTGCTTTACCTTAGCTTTTTTTCTTTTCGTTTTTTAAACAAGCCTTCTATGCCTCTTAAAATAGTCCTATTTTGATGTATTTTAGATATAAAATTTCACTCAATATTGGCTACTAAAAATTAGCATGGGACTTCCTTTTTATTACTTCTCCTAGACCTTGCTGACTTGGATCAGCAGCTTTTAGGAGATGTGATTTAATTTATGTTAGGTCTCAAAATGTGTACTGATAAACTGCTATGGAAGATTCCCCTGTCTTTATGATAGTCATGCTCAGCATTTACTGTGCTCAGAAAGTGGTGAATTGTACCATATGCTTGGTTTCTTTACCTCTGCAGTGAGGTAGGTGATATTATCCCCATTAATCAATTATAAAACAGATTGGGAAAGTTAAAATAGCTTGTTTAAAGTTATATAAAAAGTGGAGAAGACAGGAATCATATTTAGGTCATCTTAATCCAAATTGTATGCTTTTTGTGATTCAGTATGGAATACATCATTAATTTTCTTTGTAGCTGATAACATCAGCGTACTATTTTTAGTTGTTTTTTTTTTAAGCCGAGGTGAGGATACTAAGTACATAGATACATAATGAGAATGGTAATGTTAAATGTTCATATAAAACTTTTCAGTTTTGCATTTTGTCAAAATGTATCTTTTTTTTTTTTTTGAGACAATGTTTCGCTCTGTCACCCAGGCTGGAGTGCAGTGGCGCAATCTCACCTCACTTCAATCTCTGCCTTCAATCGGGTTCAAGTGATTCTCGTGCCTCAGCCTCTGGAGTAGTTGGGTTTACAGGCCTGAGCCACTGCACTTGGCCAAAAATATATCTCGAATTGGAACCTTTTCAGAAATGAGAAGCCACACAGGTGATCAATTAAGGGCTATTTTAAGTTAAGCTAAAATGGAAAATCACTCAATTGAGCAAACTAATATGTACATTGAACTTTGAACCTATGAAATATGATAGATTAGTGTAAATTGAAAGTATAGTCCTGATTATAGTTCTCAATCTAAACTTTTTGGCTTCAGTTTGTATTATTTTATCCTAAATACAATGGAATTATTTAGAAAACTTGCTAATCATATTCATTTTTTTTTTTTTTTTCATTTTACATACGGGGATGAACTGTATGTAATGTCTAGCTAGGTTTTTTTTTTTTTAATGTCCGGTTAGATTTTTTTCCCCTTCTATTCTTGCTTCTGTTAGGACTTCTGACTCCTAATGTGACTCCTGCTATACATTGCAAAAAATTTGTCATAGTGTACTTGAAAATTATTTGTTTAATACTCAGCTTACCTCTATCCCTTTTTTCTTCTTTCTTTTTCTTTCTCTTTCTTTCCTTTCCTTTTCTGTCTGTCTCTTCTTTCTTTCTTTTAGCAGTAAACTACATCTATCCAAATTAGGGTATGGGATGTTTGTTTACCTGAAAGTTTATTTTAATGACCCTGAGTTTTCACAGCATTCGAAGATAATGAATTTTTTTATCGGTGAATTTTCAACAAACACACTTTTAAACTTTTCTTGATACTTCAAGAGCAATTAGTTTTAACTTTTCTGATAATTCATGAGCAATTAGGTTTACATTACTGAGCATTTATAATTACAGAAAACTAAAGGTAAGAAATGTAGGAAAATGTGCTGAATACTTTTCAGTGTTGTGGTGTTTGGTTGTTTTTGCATAAAAACCAGTTATCAGCCTGTTGTCACTTGTCATGTGTTTCTAAAAATAATAAAAGTATAGTTATTTAAAGTTATTAGTTGTTTATTTGTAAATGTGGATCATTAAGTGACTATTAAATAAAAATAGGTTGTATTTATGTTGTAACTTCCGTCCAGATTTGTTGATTTTTCAATATTAACAGTGATTCTCAGAGTTAACAGATCTGTTATAAATGGGAAAAGGCATAAACTGCAGCACTTTGAGAAGTTCGACATTAATAGTTGTTAAGGAAGTAAAAGATTTTGTGGTTCAAATAAATTTGGAGGATATTTGCCTAAAGAAAGTTAATAGGTTTCCTCTCTGGAGGACTTCCCATAGCTTTTGATAGGTGATTTATTTTCAAAGAAGATGATATAATTTACAGCATATTGCAAAGTCATTTAACCATGGAAATGAAAATACTTCCTTGTATTTCACTTTGAGAAATCCTGAGTGATGAGTTATGTATCAAGACAGGCTCCCTGGACATCCATGGCTCCTTTTGAATACACATATATACACACACATTCACACACAGTTGTCTTGCCTGTAAGTGCTTAGTAAAATATTATTACTTGGTTTTGTTGATTAATATATTTGTAATAGAAATACTCTTGGGGTAAATTAATCCTTAAGCTAAATAAGCTGTTTCTTTAATTATTAATGACATTGCAAGAGCTACTAACCAGATCAAGAAGTCCATAGCTCCACTGGCATTCAGAGGGTGTTAAGGATTAGGAAAGGAATTTTATAATGGGAGTGGAAGGACATCAGTATCTAAAATGAGTTTGGCTTGCCACTCTACACACACCTTACTTGGCATCTTTTGACAAACCGAGAGGAATATTGATTAACATTCTTAAATAATTGTTTGAAAATTAATATTGTAATTGACAGTCATACTTGTATACATTTAAGGGGTACAGTGTGATATTTTGAAATGTGTGGAGTGTAGAGTGATTTCATGCAGCTGAATAACATATCTTATTTTTTGTGGTGAGACACTTGAAATTTAGTTATTTAAAAATATGATACATTATTATTGACAGTTATTTAATTGATATAAAAATTTCTTCCTTCTCTGTATCTGAAATTTTGTACTCTTTGAGCGGTATATCCCCATTGCTCCTTCTCCAGGCCCTGGTATCTATCATTCTGCTGTCAACTTCTGTGAGTTCGACTTTTTAAGATTCCACATGTAAGTCAGATCATGTGGTATTTGTCTTCCCATGCTTGGCTTTTTTCACTTAGCATGATATCCTCCATGTTCATTCATGTTGTAGCAAGTGACAGAATTTCCTTCTCTTTTAAGCCCAATTAGTATTTCATTGTATCTATATACTACATTCTCTTCATCCCTTTATCCATTGATGGACACTTAGGTTGATTCTATATCTTGGATTTTGTGACTAGTGCTGCAGTGAACCTGGGAGTGCAGACATCCTTTTAATAATACTGCGTTTCATTTTTTTGGAAATATACCCAGAAGAGAGATTGTATGGTAGGTCTATTTTTAGGTTTTTGGGGGAACCTACATACCATTTTCCATAATGTTTGTACTAATTTACATTTCTACCTACGGTGTACGAGAATTCCCTTCACATCCATGGCATCACTTAATTCTCATCTTTTTGATTATAAACATTCTAACAGGTGTGAGGTGATATCTCATTGTGGTTTTAATTTGCATTTTCCTAATGGTTAGTGATGCTTAGCAGTTTTTCATCTATTTGTTGGCCAGAAATATGTCTTCTTTTGAGACATGTCTGTTCAAGTCCTTTGCCCATTTTTAAAATGAGTTATTTTCTTGAAATTGAATTGAGTTCCTTTTATATTTTGTCTGTTAACCCCTTATCACGTGTATGGTTACACTTTAATCCAAGTTCTGGAGTGGAAAA